TTCGGGCAATTGCGTTTTTTCGTCATTTCGCGAATTTTTTTCTCCCCTTTAAAATGTAACTACGGCTTTGAAACTTTTTGAAGTAACACACTTTATAAGGTACTTTACGAGAAAANAACTCACAATATCCATTGCAATGAAATTGTAATCCATGCTACTTGGGGAGCTATGGTGTAGGGTGATCCTCTACTATTTCTACTACTATTCCTGTCACACGGAATTTTCTGGCACACATATCAATCAACGGAGTTCAGGTAAATTATTTTTGATGCAGAATTACTTTCTGCTTCCGACGCATACTCGGAAACATCGAGGAACTAAACCTCTGTTTCTTAGCAGACCGAGAAGGACAGAAAATCTCAACTCAGTCCCTGTTACACAGCTGAGATTCTGCAATTCAAGCGGCTGTAGGGTGCCGGAAAACCGAAGCTAACCTACTTAAACTTGACATTTTTAGAATGTATGGACCTTTTACTTTTTATTTCTTTAGTCTGCCTTAAGAATACTAACAATATTCCCGTCGTGAGATGAGGCAGAAGGCTTGTCACAAGGTTTTCATCTCAACTCATTGTCAGCCCCCCTACCTTTTCCCTCCGTCGCACGGTGGATCGAAACCTGCAAAAAGTCGGACATGGGCGATTCTCACAAATAGTCATTTCATTGATGTAAATGTCTTCCCAAAGAGTTATATTTTATGATACAGGTATTGGTTTTCAATTTTTTAACCCCAGTTTAACGCACACAGCCTCCTAAAGTGGCTCAGGCGGCACTCGAAAAATGTTGCCTCACTCGGGACAAACCGTTCGCCTGTTGGTATTTCCCTCCGATAGATTTATGACAATCTCTGACTAAAGTAGCTTGTCCTCCTCCTTAAGTAGAATATATTTCACTAATAACAAGTTAAAATATCGCTATTTTTATAAGCGGTATTCTTGCTTAAAAGTACCCACCTCAATACCGTAAAAATAATAATATAGCTAGACTTTTAACTAGCTATTTCAGCGTATTTCAGGGAAACCTTTGTATAGCAGTGTTAACTGATCCCTGAAGATTCATTATCAAGAAAAATTGGCTGCCCCAAACTGCCCTTTTGGGAATAAAGCTTAAATGATTTTGAAAAAGTGAAGTTCATAAAATGGTGGCTCGAGAGAATTCGAATTTCACAGGTCTGTGGCGAATAAACACCGGGCATTTGATAGGTGATCTGTATGTAATTTTTAGTGCTGAGTTCGAAAATGACCTTGGTTTTTCTCCAACACCCACCGATTTTCCGGAAAATTGAGATTTTCCACTTAAAATGGACTTTTCGGGAAATGTGATTTTCCGGAAAACTGGTGCATGGTAAAGAGAAACCAAGGTCATTTTCGAATCCAGGAGACAAAAATACATGAGAAAACATGCCTTGCGTGGTTAAAAAAATGTCCACGTTGTTTCAGATAACGGGGTTTTCCTCTCAAATGTCCTAATCGACGCATATGATACTGATCCGTTTGTTTTGCGTCTGAAAAGACGGGAAAATTATATCAAGTTGGTGTCTAATGGAGCATTTTTCATCTACTACTTGATGCTAAAGTCAAAAATGGCCTAAATTCTTTTCTATTCTCTAACTATTTCCCAAAAACTCGCGTTTTTTGACAACGGATTTTTGTTTTTTTTATGTTTAATTTCTTCGGAAAATTAGAAGTTAATAGAGAAAATTGAGGTAATTTGAGCTTCAGCAGCAATCATTAAGCCGAAGAAGCTCCATTAGATACCTAAGTATAAATAAAGGCAGTGTACAATGGTGACTCGCGGGGCCCTTAATTAGGAAGGCTCGGATAATACATGATTTGTGTTGATTGATGTGTATTTGATTCGTATTTTTCTCTCATATTTTTCCCCCTTGTCATTTTCTTTTGTTAGAAAGCTAAAAAGGTGCCCCAGGAATGAAGGGGAAAGGAGATCCTCTGTTTTCCTCTCAACATTTTCGGATTTCTATTAATTCATTTTTTGGGGGAGAGGAGGGGGAATGGTAAAAGAGATGAGTAATATACGTTTTATATACGATATTTAAACATTTTACCGGAGAGAAAAGTCCATTGAACACTTAAAACTTCGATTGAAATGAGTGTAGAAAGTTTAAACTTATCTGTTGTTAAACAATATCTCTTTATTTATCTGAAATTGTACCAAAATACATATCTAAACCCAATAATCAGGAAAATAGTCATCACAAATGAAATCTGCGACGAAAAATACATAAGAATCATGTATCCTGATTTGTTTTATGAGCGCAAACACTACGTAAATGAGCAAACCAAGTCGCGTGATGTGCCATGTCCGGCCTGCCCTATGACTCGATCCACCGTGCGTCGGGAGCCACCAGGGGCGCTGTTTGTAAAAACAAGTGGTTGTTGTTATTCAGTGTGATCTTCTTACCTCACCTAATATGTGCAATCGCTGTGATAACCGACAAGTACGTGTTTAGGTATTTTTTTTTTCTTCTTTTTCTTTGGAGTTTGAACGTTAAAATCATCCTGAACCAGCTCAACTCAGTCCCTGCATTATTGAGAGGTAAACTTCAACAAAAGGCAACTATTTTTAGATATTTAACGTAATACTGAGTCCTAATCCAGGAGCACGTTTTGTTTTGGCGATAAACATGACCTCAAATTTTCTTCCATTAAAACAAGAAGAATCCTCAACTCAGTACCCGTCTTCTCAACTCAGTCCCCTTAGTATAATATTCTAGTGTATATTCTGAGAAATGGGGACTGAGTTCTTGAAAGCCCTCATTGAAATGAGTAGTTCCTGCTGTCATTAAATGGGTTTGTTACTTTCTTTTCTCTCTTAAATTAGTCCAAGTTCGTGTGACAGGATAGAATGTTGTCAAACGGTCAGTAATTTTATTATGAAAGATGGAAACTATACAGGGGAAGACAGACAGACAAACCGAGTGTGAGATCACTTATGCCTTTGTGTCTGTCTATCCGTCTCTCCGTCTGTCTGTCTGTCAATCTGTCTCCCCTCCTGCCCCTTCTCTCCCCTATTCTTTCACCCTCCCCTCTCTTCTCTCCCCGTTTCCTCTCCCCCTCTATTTCCTCTTAAACACTCTCTCCATCAAATGGACAGCTTTATGCAATACGGAACTAGGGTCAAATTTTCGATTTTCTTTTTTATGATAATTCCGTACCAGGGTATTTACTTACTATTGAGAAAAAGAAAATCCTCAAAAACGATTTTTATCCCGCTTCAGCAACCCCGCAAAAATTTGCCGTCGCAAGATCACGCGAGGTTCATTTTGCAATTGGGACCTATACTATGGTTGCCTATTGCGTAATGCGAAACTCGGATTTCCTATTTTATTCGGAACTATAGGCAGGACGGCAAAATGCTATCTCGGCATTCTCGGCTCCTGTGCGATCGATCTTGCTAATTTTTGATACCAGGGGGTATTTTTCGATGGGAAACTCGAATTTCAGGTCAAATTTTGAAAATTCGAAAATCCAAGATGGCAAATGAGGCCTTAAATGCTATCTCGGCTCTTGTTCGATAGATCTTGCTGATTTTTGGTTCGAGGGGGTATTTTTGGACGAGAAACTAGAATTTCTAGTCAAGTTTAAAAAATTTGAAAATCCAAGATAGCGGATGAGGCCTAAAATGCTATCTCGGCTCTTGTTCGATCGATCTTGCTGATTTTTAGTTCGAGGGAGTATTGTTGGACGGGAAACTCTAATTCCTAGCCAAATTTCAAAAATTTGAATTTTTTTCAAATTTTAACAATGAGCTTGTTCAGTAACTTTTTATTTTTTCATTTTTTGAAGTATTTACTACTCATAAGTCACAAGGATTTTCGCCAATATTTTTCGAATTTCAATCCACGAAAAACAAGTTTGAGGTTGCGTCTTCTGAGCTCCCCTTTAAACGTGTGTCTCCGAGGAATGAAAGATCCCCTGAGTTAGGTCATTTTCGGCCACATCCATTATCTTGGATTCTCGAATTTTCAAAATTTGACTAGAAATTCTAGTTTCTCGTCCAAAATTACCCCGTGATACCAAAAATCAGCGAAATCAATCGAACAGGAGCTAAGATAGCATTTTAGGCCACATCCGCCATCTTGGATTTTCAATTTTTTTAAATTTGACTAGAAATTCTAGTTTCTCGTCCAAAAATACCCCCTGGTACCAAAAATCAGCGAGATCGATCGAACAGGAGCCGAGACAGCATTTTAGGCCACATCCGCCATCTTGCATTTTCAAAGTTTTTAAATTTGACTAGAAATTCTAGATTCTCGTCCAAAAATACTAGCTGGTACCGAAAGTCAGCAAGGTCGATTGATCAGGAGCCGAGATAGCATTTTGGGCCACATCCCTAATCTTGGATTTTCGAATTTTCAAAATTTCACGATTCACGGGTTTATCGATCAATTCACGGATTTTTCGAACGACTCACGGGGTTGTCAATCGATTCACGGATTTGTCGATCGATTCGCAGGTTTTTGATCAATTCACTGTCGTCAATCGAATCAGTGCCGATCGAATCACGTCAATCGGTTCACGTTCCAACTTTTCGATCGATTCATGTCGGATTTATGACACCGGTTTTTCAATAATTGTCGATCGAGTCGGTGTTGATCGATTTACGCTTTCATTTTCCAATCGATTCATATCAGTCGAATCTATAAACCCTCCCATCCAAACATAGAGTACATAGAGTCGTAATGTAAGCGGGTGAGCTGGCGCCACTTTTAAGCATTTTCCACGTCCCGAATTCCGAGACTCCTGTGTGACGCCGGGTGCCTTTTTCGATACATAATCGATTGTTGGCGATACACGGGTACCCGACCATCCGATGTAAACAAAGAAGATAGGAATCACCACGTATTCCACACCGCCATTTTGGATCGAAAATGTATCGAAAAAGTGACCCGAACTCGGCGCACACCGGGCTCAGAACTCATCGAGCAGAACATGGCGCCAGCTCTTCCATTTACATTACGACTCTATGTAGGTACTCTATGCGTCCAAATTGCATGTTAATATTTGCCACCATTCTCGAAATATTAGCGTGTCTATAGGTATCCATATTTTTGGTACACCTTGTTTTTGGTAGAATATCTTTCCGTAGGGACAATGCACCTCCCCCCTTTTTGGTATGATGGGAGGAAGGGGTGTTTTCTCTGTTGGAATGTGTGTGTGTGTTGGATGTGTTCCCTCCAGTGTGTAAAAGTGACACCAGGGTCGTCTCCCCTATGCAGTCAGTGCTAAACAATCTATGGTTCCTAATTGCAAAATGAGCTTCCCCGGATTCTTCATTTTGCAATAGGAACTATAGCCTTTTTTTGTAATTTTTGGCAAGAGTGTGAAGTTTTCGAAGAATCTGTCAACACAAGGTGTTAAAGGAACTCAATAGCTATAAAATGAACCATCAAACCGCAACATCGATCGTTTTGAGGAAAAACGCCAATGGTTTTTGCAAAGGTTGCTCTCCTGAAAACCTACCGTACTGCCTATAGTTCCGAATTGCAAAATGCGATCCAAATCTATCTCTCTATCTCACTCATTTCCTCTCAACTCAGTCCCGATTTTGGTATATGGCTTAGTTTTGAAAGAAATATGAGTTCCTTTGGCACCAAAACAGATTTTTTACAACTCATATCGATGTAACACCTAAAATAAAATTGAATGTATTCGATACAAAAATCCACCAGGGAAATAAAGAAACTAGCCGGCAGAAATTTTTATATTTTTCAGATTTTCTTCCCAAAATTTGCCCTTCTTTAGAGATTTCCTGACAATTTGAGGGGGGGTTTTTTTTATGAAAATTCATTGCATGCGCAACACATTTTCATGGAGTTTGAAATAGTTTGGGGGAACACTTATATAAAATAAAGACAAAAAAGCAGAGGGACTGAAATGAGATTTTACCCGGTTTCATAATTTCTGCCTGCTTGGTGAAAGACTGAAATTCTAATTTTTGTGGAGACCATAATTGATTCCGAGTGCCAAATTACGTGAAGTTTCAGAAAAACATATCTGTCAAGGTTTCTTAGAGAGTTTATTTTTGGAAATTCTCGGGCTGAAATAGTAGAAGTAGCAGAGAATTACTCTGTAGATACAACCAGAAACATAAAAAATGTTCGCTGAAAAGGTTAGTTTTATTTTATTATTAATACTAGATACTGCAACCATTTTGTTTCAAAATTATTTTTGGCACTCGAAAGGAGTACACCCGAAACGCCCTTCGAACTCAAATTGAACTTATGCCATGTGCCTAAAACTGAATGGGCAAACGAGGCTCGGGTGCACATGGGCCCCGAGTTAAATGCTTCATTAAATGCTCTTTGTTTTCCTGTCCTCCCTGGCTCGCTTGACTTTGCATCACTCAAAAACAAGCTAATTTCTCATTATGCTAAATCGCGTAACAAATTTAGTGATGTCATCACCTTCCGGAAAATCCATCAGCACGCTGATGAGCCTATATCAGATTTTGTGTCTCGCCCCAAGACCAGTGCGCGCTATTGCGAATTTTGCGACTTCCTAGATTACTCGCTTAGTATTCAGTTCATCCATGGCCTGTTCAGCGATGACATCCGCGATGAAATCGTGAAGAAACAACCTGCCGACTTCGATGCGGCTGTTGCTGTGGCGACTAACCTCGAGTCTTCCTTTCAAGCCTCTGCCATCCTCAAGCCCACTTCTGCCCAACACTCAACCACTATCAGCTAGTTTTCACATGAAAGTAGACCCAAACTCAAGAAAAACCCAGGAAACAATCGGAGCTGCGGTGTCATCCTCACAGTAAGAACTCACACCGCAGCCCCTCTCACAGTAAGAATTATCATCGCAATCCCTCTCACAGTAAGAACACAAACCCTTTGTTTATCTTGTGGAGGTTCCCATAACCGCACTACATGTAAATTTAATAATGCTGTCTGTAATTACTGTAAAATTCGAGGTCACATTGTCAGTGCATGTAAGAAGAAAAAGTACTCTAATGGTAAAGAAGTTAATGATAATACCAGAAACAATTCTGATAATTCTAAAGTTCATGGTTCTCGTCCCGAATCTGATACTTATTATCTGGAACATCAATTTAAATCAATCTCTGGTGACAGTCCACCAATTTTGCTCAATGTCCTCATGAATGATAAATCACTCCGCATGCAGCTCGACACAGGTGGTCCTTGTAGCCTTATTTTTTATTAAATTTCGTTTTTTTAACTTCTCCCGAGATTTGGGGACTTGCCAACGTAATGTTAAACTGATTTAGACACTACTGAGATAATGTGGAGGCAAATTCAGGGAAAATTGGCTTATTTCGCAGGAAAATTGAATGACCTTTGAATTGACGTATTCGGGGGTCCGAACCCCCCCCCCCCCTCCCTTTAAAATTAGTTCGAAGCGATGTCTGTAATTTCTACTTCAAAGCAAACACAATTTGGTAAATTTTCCCGTTTTATTTTTTTCTTTACAATAATTTGAACCGGCGTTATGATTTTTTGAAAAAAGGTCAAATTTGACGTTTGACCTATCATAACTCGGTAAAAAATTAAGATGTTGATCTGCAGTTTGCGCCAAAATTCTTAGTTTTTTTACGCTCTTTCGAATGAATTATCACGTGATACGGATGCCATTTGAAAAAAAAAGTTGCCCCCTTCCCCTGAGGGGAGACGAAAATTTTGACCCGCTCCCCCCAAAAAGATGGTCTAATTTGATATAGGAACATTCCCTAAGTTTCATTGTTCTATCTCGAACCGTTTAAAAGTTAAATGGGGGGGGGAGGGGGAGGCTGGACTTTTGGAACACCCTGTACATCTACCTAAGCACTATAGAAAGCATAATACGCCAATTTTTCGTAAATTAAAAAGAGGTATTGAGCTAAATCTAGTCGGCAAATCAGCTGTAATTCACATTCCTTGAGACTGTGGTCCCTTGGACCTGTGGTTTCCTTGAGACCTTGAGAATTTCTGTTTGCGGTTCCTGAACGGTCAGCGGAGTCAAAATATAATATTTCTTGTTTTTTATGATATTGTTGGTTACTTCTTTCACTATGAAGTGTACTAGTCTCATTTTACTTTTTGTAAAGAATAGTTTGTGTGCTTTCTGATTTTCCATAACTTTCCAGCTTCTCAAAATCTTAAAAATATGAATCTTTTTATACATGCGCATACTGTTTATATATAGTACGAGAGAAACAACTAAAGAGCAAAAATTTGCACGGATATAATATGAAAACAGTTATTCTGGCGAGGATCAAACTCGAATCTTTACGTTACATGCTATCCACTAGACTATCGGTATCAACGGTTACCTACGCAGGAATAGCCATAATATAAAAGTATGTTGGGGGAGATGCGCGCGCAGCGCTCTGCGCAGGCACTCTCCCTACGCCACTCAGCGATTCAACGCTAGGCTGCTACTCAAAACGATAGTTACAATCAATTTGAGCACATGATTAGACTGAGTTTTGATCAAATATCTCTGAAAGGCTGGGAAAGGCTGGTTTCAACCAAGGATTTTTGTGATCCCACTTTTGTGATTTCCCACTCACTTTTTCCTGCCAAAGCCGAATATGACCTCAGATTTTTTCTAAGAATTTCACATTTTCCAGGGAATGGATTTTTCTGAAAAAAAGGTGTTTTTCAATGTAGGGAGACCGCGCGCAGCTATGTTGACCAGATTTTTTGAAAACTTGTGTCTGAAGAAACAGAAGAATAGAATGCCATTTTTTTAATGCTCTAATCCTTGAACATACAGTGTAAAATTAAAATCAACTGAAAATATTGTACAAAATACTTTACTTTTGTGAGTTTCATGCGTTTTTAAAAGAAAATCCATTTTGCTTGATGTTGGCCATCCCCGGGGCTAAGTGAGCCACCTGTAAGTAAGCTATGTTAACCTTGTTCAGTTGATTGCAATTGCACTTAAAAAAGCTTAGTATTATGCCCTTACACTTATCTTTCGTCATGTTTATAAAACTCAATACCTTTGGAGCTGAAAATTTAAAAATAAATAAAAAAAAAAAAAAAAAAAAATTAAAGAACCGTATTTTTAATAAGTGAGTTGGCGTGAAAAGCAACTTAAAAAATAATGAGAACATCTACTTCTCCACTAAATAGGACCATTTTAAACTCAAAGAAAATGGTTTCGAAACCTTACGCCAAAAAAAATAAAAAATGTATGTTTTCTTCGTATAGTAGGTCAACATAGTCCCAGAAAAATGATACACATAGCCTCGATTGAGGTTACCTCAAATCGAAGTCATCCAACTAAAAAACAAGGAGTCAAAAGCCATAAATCCATACACTAATATCAAAGGAAAGGGGTCTAGGTACTTCAAATAGAAACAAAGATTAATAAGATACAAAATAAATACTCGCCACAGCAAACATAATTCAAAATTAAAAAAATCGCATTTTTGGGCTATTTTTGAAGGTAAACAAGAATGTTACAGCACAGAGCACAACAGAGGGGGGTACCGGCGATGTTGATATTTTAAATTGTTAGTCTACATCGCTGCCAACCTTTTTTCTCATCAAAACATCAAATTTACGTTTTCCCCTACAAAATTCTCACGATGGTTATCATAGCCCCTTGGCCAACATTATAGCCCCGGTCTCCCCTAAAATCCCATATAAAAAAGATGGCTCTGTCGGCACGGGTTAATATTATCCGATTTAGCTGAAACTTGGCAGAGAGTGTTTTTTGATCAAGCGGATCAGTTCTAGGGGGTAAGACCGAACAAATTCCAACATTGCCAAATTTTGGCCACCCTACTCTTTAGTTGTTTCTCTCGTACTGTATTTATTAACAGAATGCGCATGTACAATAAGATTCATATTTTTCAGATTTTAAGAAGCTGGAAAGTTATGGAAAATCATAAAGCACACAACCCATTCTTCAAAAAAAGGAAAATGAGACTAGGAAACTTCATAGTGGAAAAAGTAACCAACAATAACAGAAAAAAACAAGAAATACTATGTTTTGACTCCGCTGACCGATCAGGAACCACAAACCGAAACACAGTCTCAAGGTATGTGAATTGCAGCTGATTTGCCGACTAAATTTAGCTCAATACCTCTTAAATTTACAAAACAATTGACGCATTATGCTGTCTATTGTGCTAAGGTAGATATATAAGAACATCTAGGTGTGAACAACCGATGGGAAAGTGGACACTCCGAGCGTCAAGACTTTTTCGGTGCTAGATTGGCTGTTTTTCCCACTGTGCCACGGCAGCGGCACTCCCGGGCGATCATGGTTTTAAGTAACGTCGGGCGTAGTTAGTACTTAGATGGAGAACAGCTTGAGAATGACCGCGGTGCGGAGATTTGCATACTGGCTAAGAATTCCTTTTATGTCAAACATGCCACGACAATAGTACAAATTAATTTTGGTGTTTAATCCTTAATCTTTCTCTTCTAAGGATCTGCTAGTAGACACGGTATTTTGGGTACGGATTAGGGAGCTTTCCATGGGAGCCACTTATTCCCATTGGAGCCACATCTCAGGGGAATGATACCCCTGCACAAAACAGCCTGAGTGAAATTCCGATGAGAAATTTTTAGCAGGGTCGAGGGAGGCATATGATGGATTAAACATACCTTTTCTTGATCCATCGAACAAAAAAGCTTTTAATTTTTTACTTCGTAGGTTGCTCTGAAGTTGAACAAGCGCCTGAATATCAAGTCCGCTGATGCGATCTTTATCCTTGGTGCTGTCTGAGCTTTAACATGACAAAAATGTAATATAAACGTGTAAACTTTCAAGATTTAGCAGGTAGGTTGTGATAGAACCATAAACATAGAATGAAGCACTTTTTACTTTTATTTCAAAATTTAAAAAAAAAACTGTTGCATGCTTCCAACCATCCTTTTGAATGGTTCTCTCCTGGAATTTAAATATATCATTATTTAAGGACTCCACTCGGGACTCCCTTCCCCTCCCCTTCGACACATATTCCGCCTTGATTTCTTTTTATCATATTTTTCAACATAAGAAGTGGGATACACGGTTTCAAATTTTCCACGTATGAACACAGACAAACCAATTCTCCACGGATATGTGCTGATGTCGCTTTTTATGAGGATAATTCGTTTCTAGGGCCCCATACGGGATCGTTATAGAATTATGAATAACTAAAATATAAGTAGGTAGTTCTTTAGAGCTTCACCTCCCAACTGACCAAAAAATCAATCTGCCAGAACCTGTAAATCAGGAGATAGCGTTTCGCTAACGATGGGTCCAAATAGACCCAAAGCGCGTTTAATTATTTTCTAGATTGGTTGTAATAGTCCTGATCTAAACTGCATACTTCCATGAAAGAAGATTGTGTTCAAATGAGCCTTTAGTGTCAACAAACGACTCGTGCAATATCCGCAATCTGTTTGTAGTAAAATGGAGTTTATAATACTTCATTTTTAAGTGTACGACTTTATAACCTCCGTAACGACGGAAGACCCCATCAGCGACTGAACAAGAAATGACATCGGTCTGGTGAAGGACCGTGTGTCAGATGGGTGGCAAAGCTAACAATAAACACAGCAAACCCTCTTAGAGAATTGGGTTAAAAGGATTTCCTTCGTTTCGTTTTTTTTCTCAACAAATCCAAATCTCTTCTTCTTTAGACTCACATCTTCCTGTACCAGATTTTTATTCCAGGAGAGATACCTCTCTTACTTTAGCCTGCTACTAAATGTAAGACATCGAATCGTTTTTTATCAAATTATATGTGATGCAAATCACATTACAATATTTAAAATTTACATACCTAATATATTGAGAACCAAGAGCTTACCTCAAGTCGTGGATTGAAATAAGTTTTACATCTTTCACAAAGTGAGAAATTATGTGGCCTTCGTAGTTATTCTAGAGAAAGAAAAAAGAAGTAGTGACCATTAAAAAGTTACAATTTCTAAAATTAAACACATAGTAACAATTATGGGTGGGTCTAATTGGACCTCATTTTGCAATTAAGAACTATAATTTCTGGCTCAATTGAGAAAAAGCGTATGTACGATTAGTTTCCCTACTTACATAAGTGTTTTTAAAGATGAGCCAGGAAACAAAGTTCCGAATTGCAAAATGTAGTCCAATTGTAATTCGACGGTGAAAGTCGGCAATCACATAACTCGGTTTGCGACGTCGCAGACTTCCTGTCATACTTTATTTTTTAAATGGAAAAGTACTCAACGGCAATTCTTTAAAACTGTCATGATTTTTCCTCTCAATGCGAAGAAAATTCCGCAAAAACTTCAAGAAATAATATCAATTTGTTCTCCTTTAAAAAAATGACGTAGAGGCGGAGATTTTCAGACACCGCAAACGAGTTATGTGATTGCCGACTTTCACCGTCGAATTTAGCCGACAGTTGTGAACTAGTCCAGATATCGGACGTTCAAGAACGTAGATATCAACGTTTACCGTGAAACATCCCAGAAGCGTTTCATTTGGTACATTAAAGTACGCGTTGTCAAATATGCACGTTCCAAAGGCATTTCTCTAGCTACATTGTGGGAACGTAGTCTAGCAAGTACGTTGCGAACTAGGGTTGCGAACGTTTCACTGCCTATGTTGCCAGGATGTAGAACTGTACGTAGGTATAGTCAAAACACGTCACACTGGAAAAGGCGGCACAGGCCAGGAGTGCCCACAAGGTAGCGCTGCATTTCGCGGCGAAGATACGTGTGCCTAGCGGGAGAAATCCGAAGGGAAAATGACTACCTTTTCGCAGTAGCCCGAAGTGTGCATTACGGGCCCTACCGAATAAGGTACATGGGGACGGCTCCTTTAATTATATCAATCTACAAGGATATTTTACGCTATGGACTGCTTTTCGACACTCTTTCCATACTTCCAAGGTAGTTGGACCGAGAACACAGTACCTAATTGTTATTCATTTTATTCGTAATTGAATTTTTAGAATGCGTCATACATTAATATTTTTCCTCAGACTGAGACCTGAGCATGACCATGCGCAGAAAAAGACGGGCAATTTACGTATGACTAAAGTTAACTTCTGATCTAATCTAAACTAACCTAATCTAATGTAACATCAACCATTAGATGACTGACCGTTTTTACCGACATGAAAGGCTAATCCAGGCCTGCGAGGCCCGTATTGAGAATATATGGTAATTTGATGGCTACAATGCTTGTTTTCTCTATTTTTGGATGAATGGCGTTTGAATGCCGCCTTGGATTGTGCGGGATTCTAAGTTGGGTTCAGTGACGCGTGTGATTCACTGATGAGGTCTAAAAAGAACCAAAACTTCATAGATCTCACAACGTGACCTCAACTTGCAATGCAAACTGCCTCAGCTGAACACTCTACCCCTCAGTTTTGTATTGGTGCTCATTAGAGTTAAAATTTATTGACTCTAATTGTAATTTTTGAAATTTCTCGGCTTTGATTTCCTCGCGTAATAGTGTTTTTATACCTTGTTATATATTTATACATATACATATAAAACATAGGAGCTTACAATGACAAGAATTTTTTCCGCTTCATTCAAAGGGCATCTCCTGTGAGTGGCATATAGCATCCACTCTGGCCACCAATGAAACACCAGGCGTACAATTCCGCAGGTCAAACACATTAGTATCCAGATGGACATTTTTCGGATGAAACTGGATGCATAGCCGTACACTTCCTGTTGTAAATAAATTATATTATTTAAGTAGGCAAGTACCCCAAGTGAAAGTCGGAGAATTTTATATATATAGGTAATTTGGTGCTGATCATTCGAGTGGTGCGGTCGTGCGTGCGCATTTTTTTTTTTTTTTTTTTTGAAATCTATTGCTATCGTTTGAAAACGTTCACGTTTAAAACCGTCCACATTTAAAACCGTCCACGTTTAAAAACGTCCTTGTTTAAAAACATTAGGGTAATAAAACATCAGGGTTGTCAACCACAAACATCGATTTGTAATGTTAGGTTTGATGGATCAAAAAAAAAATGTTTCTTTTGGAAATTTATTGTACCGTTTGAAAACGTCCACGTTGAAAAATGTCCATGTTTAAAAACGTTGGTGTTATAAAACGTCAGTGTTGTCAACCACAAACATCGACCCCTTCTCCTTCTCTGAACTTTAAATCGACACTTGGGTGAATTCAAATAAGGGTCAAATTCCAGGTTCTATTTCCTCCTAAAATTTTTTTGTGAATTTTTGGGCAAACCAAACTTTATTTTGACTATCATTAGGTGTAGACTGAGGAAATATAGCTCGTCGAGCTTAATAGTTGGGCTTAAACCGAATTTTCACCGTCAAGTGTATCACTACCCAAAATTTGCCGTAATTTTGCCTGATTTCCCAAATTTTCATCTCAGAGGTGACATATAATACTTTTAATTAAAAATTGAACACAATTGTCATAAAAACACCGTCGAGCACTGAATTAAAGCATAATTGAAAACATGTAACCCTTTCATATCTTGCAGAACCAAAAAAATTGAGAAAAAATTCATCCGTCATGAAAGATATCTGGAGCTTATTCTGTTTGTCTTTTAGACAGTTCCGTCTGTTTATCAAAATGCGCACTGTATTCTTTTAACACGAGAAGAAGCTTTTATTTCTTGGAATATTACAATACAAAATGAATCAAAAACACCGAATTTTAAAACTTCGAGTGGGCGTGTACCCGCTGAAGTGGAGATAAAGCCAAGAAAATTTTGAGGACTTACATTAATATAACAATTACACCGGTCAACTTTTTTTTTTTTTTTTTTTTTGATTTTCCGAAGATTTGCCAATGGTTTCGGAGTAGATTTTTGGCGCTGATTCTGAAGAACACCTCCATTTACCTGTATCAGTGCGATTTATCCTGGGAAAGTTCGGAATTTTTCCGGAAAAATTGGAATTTTCCTTAAAAATCTAGCTTTTCCAGTCGAGTCAATTTTCCGAGAGAATCTGTGCACGATGGAAAAAATCCAGGAATCTTCCGATTTCGTAGCCTAAGATACATAAGAAACCCTGTTGCACCCCTATTAAAAGTTCCTTTCTTTTCCTAATACCATGGTTTTCCGGTACAGTTTCATTAAAATCAATTAATTAGTCACCGACATAGTGTTTTAAGCCACGGCCACCATCTTAGATTTTCGAATCTTGGAAATTTGACTAAAATTCGAGTTACCCATTCTAAAATACCCGCGGGTACCAAGTTTCGCGTAAATCGATTGATTAGGCGCTGAGATAGCATTTTAGGCCATGTCCGCCATCTTGGATTTTCGAATTTTAAACATTCGACTAAAAATTCAAGTTCCCCATTGAAAAGTACCCACGGGTACCAAGTTTCTTTTTAATCGACTGATTAGGTGCTGAGATAGCATTTTAGGCCATGCCCGCCATCTTGGATTTTCGAATTTTGAAAATTCGACTAAAAATTCGAGTTCTTCATCAAGTAATACCCCCGTGAACCAAGTTTCACTTAAATCTGTCAAAAAGAGCGCCTACAGGACTTAAACGAACAAGTCTCAGTTGATTAGGCGCTGCGATAGCATTTTAGGTCATGTCCGCCATCTTGGATTTTCGAATTTTCAAAATTCGACTAAAAATTCGAGTTCCCCATTGAAAAATACCCCCGGATACCAAGTTTCACTTAAATCGGCAGAAAAGAGGGCCTACAGGGCTTAAACAAGCAAGTCTCAGTTGTAACAGTTTTCCACTCTGTCCCATTAAACTGGGACACTGGGACAGGATGGAAACATATGGGACAGGATGGAATACTAAGGAGTGCATTTGATTTCCGGATAAATCGGGCACATTGTGATGTTTGCTTCGGATGAGTTTTCCACCACTATGGAATTCATTCCAACAACGATGATGAAAGTGATGAGAATTATATCATCGTTCACGATTTCTTTCTTACGATACTGAGAAGAGGATGAATTCTATTTATACGAAATCCTTATTGTCGATCCGACTGTTGTGACTCGCGTCCAGACCCAACCATTTGACAAAAGACTGGTTTTTCTTACGACGCAGAATTTTTTCTACAAGGAACGTATCCTCACAGTTGGTGAGTTGGAGTTCTTTGCGGTAGAATTTTCCTTTGATAATCGTATCGTGCGCGTCTTTCAGATCGTACGTGATTGGAACGATCGGATCAACACTGACAATCTTAAAAATTTCTGTGCTCCAGTTTGGCGTGTATCCTTCCTCGAACATGGTTTTGAGTCTCGAGGTCTGGACGTAATTACCGACTTGCAGTTTTCGTCTGGCCAGACCTCTCTTTTCGCTTTTACTCAGCGGCGGCCCACGAGGCTTTTACAGGATTATCGGTACATCCTTTTCGGTAACGTCAATTGGTTTCATTCCGATGGTGCGATGAGCGCTCCCGTTATATTCACGAATGAGTTTCGGTAATAGATCTACCCACTTGTACGATCCTTGTGCGCTGAACTCTTTCCACATCTTTGTTTGAGCGTTCGGTTGAATCGCTCGACAATAGAGGCTTTGGTGGTCGAGTACGAGCTGTACATGTTGATCTTTTGATGCTTAATCAATGCTTGACATTTGGAGTTATAGAATTCCGAGCCCATATCGACTTGTAAATGTTTCGGTGACTTTCCGACGGCCTTGAGAACGCGTTGCATGGCATCAGTGACATCCGTGGAATTCTCGATTAGAGTGGTTCAGCCCACGCCTTCTTTGAGCACGCGTCGATGACGGTCAGAAAGTATCCGTCTCCTTTGTTGACCAAGGCGTACGTTTGCATCTCGACGAGATTGTTTTAACATAGGTACCTAAATCGAACAATCCGAGAATCCTTACTTTACGACATGGATAGTTCCGTCGTGCAGGTTTATGTAACTCCTCGACGATTCCACGTTTATCTGCCGACATGATATTCACCGTCGATGTCGTCGTCGTCCACTCTATCGATTCAAATGCTGTTTCGATTATACTATTTAAGTTAGACGATTGTAAGATTGCTGAAGTTGGTGGATACGCTCTAGACAGTGTTGACCTAATTTCATGGCTTCCTTCCACTTCCTTTCGGACCATTGTTTGTTCACCGCATCTTCATCGCTTTTGGGTGGGATCTTGCACTTGACGATTACGTTTGTTCGATACGATATAATTACCGTCTGAATAAAGTTGGAATCCGTCACCTTTGGGACCGCGGCGGAATTTCGATCTGCCAAAACCGTCGGTGCGACTCATCGTAGGTAAAACTGTTTTCCTTTCGCTCGATTCGCAACCGTTGTTGGAACCTCTAATTGATTGATCCTACTTTGCAAATGTGATAATCTCGTCTCGAGTCGTTGTATGATATTTTTGTATTCTTCCATTTATCCCAAACAAAACGGCGCTAAATTCATAGCTTCGGTCCACCTCGAGTCTGTCCATTGTTTGTTCACGGCGTCGGTATATCCTCTTCGGGATCTTGCAGTTGTCAGATCCGTTTGTTCGATACAAGATAATTCCTGTCCAAATCCAATAGGATACCGTCACTTTTGGGACCTTGCTTTGAGTTGCAAACGTATATCCCTTTCGATCTTCCAAATCGGTCGGTGTGACTCGTTTTCTACGTGTAACTCGTACACTACGTGTATGTGATGTAAGTATATATTTAGTGGATGTAATCCGCTTCGCAAAGCTCTTCAACGATACTCAGATTTTCACATTTTAAAAAATTTAAAAAGTACCAGACTAGGTCAACAGTTAAAACGAAATAAAATTTAAACTCGCTAGTCAGCGAAAAATTACGAAACAGTCCGACGCGCGTTTCGACCCGTTGGATCACCATCAGGGGCGCGGCGCGACTGGTATGTTCTTCAGATATGCGGCGGTTGCTGGGCCTTTCTTTGTTGTCCTCGTTGCCAGATGTTCCAAACAACTTAAATAATGTGTTGGGTGGCGGAAATTCTACATTCATCAGGTGGTCTTTCTTTTGTTTTTGGATAAAGATATTTTCCCAACATGTCAGTCTATTGGCATTATTTTCTTCCTTCAGTAATTGAGGTTCAAAATCTATGTCATGTTTTTCTTCCCAAAAATGTGCTACTATTGCTGTTTTTTCTATCGCTTGATTTTTGGTGTGTCTGGCGTGTTCTTGAGCTCGAATTTTTATGGATCTCGACTTTTTTCCTATGTAAACTTAAGGGCAATTTTTACATCGTATTTTGTACACTCCTGCTTTTTGTAACCTGTCTGTCTCATTTGATATTTTTCGCCGAATGGACCACTAGACAAGGTACGAATTTAAGCGATCTGATACATGTTTCTTAATCAGAATTTCACGTGGAAAACGATTCACACAACGAAAATTACGAAAACCAACTCCTAACGAAGATATTAACGTTTTTATTTTACATTGGTTACGAGAAATTTGAACTGCCCGCTCACAAGAAACTCAAAACTCTACGTGAGTCAAATCGCCCACTACAACGGTTTCAGCAAGCTTCTCAATCGAGCAATGTTCATTTCCCATCATGTGTTGTTCAAACTATTAGCAATTTGCTATAACTGAGCCAAAGCGTCAAGATTAAGGTTGCCAGATTTTTATATCGCAGAGACTGTCATGATAACGTTTAGCGCGCGATGTGAATCACGTAGAGCATTGTGTTTTCATGAGCGGGTGGTTTGAATTCACGCATTAAGAATCATTAAATATCTTCGTAAGGAGTTAATTTCGGTAATTATCGTTGTGTGCATCGTGTTTTACGTAAAATTTTGGTTAAGAAACATGTATCAGAATGCTGAAATTCGTACTTTATCTAGTGGTCCATTGTCTTTGGAAACAGTATGGATTATAGAAACATGATTTTATATTGTATGAGTTGAAAATACGTTTGAAAATGGGCCAATATTTTGGGTGGTGGGTAAAACTTCTGTATGTTCCTTCCGTTTTTTCTAGTTTTGACAGGGTTGTATTATTTCTATCCCTTTTAATTTTTCCCAGTAATTTTTGGAGGCATTTTTCCGGGAACTCATTTTTCTTTCCAATTTCCACAATCCGATTTTTCTCTTCTATGTATTTTTCTTTGCTTAAGGGAATATCCTCTAGCCTGTTAAATAGATATCTACGCTGCTAATTTGTGGGACACCGGATTGTAACTGTTGAAATTTATGTATACCTACTTCCAAACTTGTTGGTTTTCTATAAATGCTGACATTGAGCTGATTGTCGGTTCTTTGAATTAAAGAATCCCGGGGATTTTTCCGACCAGAACATTCAAATGGAGCGTAAGAACAACCAGCAGACACAAGCCAATTTTTGTCCTTTTAGAACTGTCCCCGACCGCCAATATGAAAAAGCTTGGTTCTTAAAAAATCTAATGTCAAATTCGTTTTTCTCATGTTAAAATACCTATTGTTACAGAGTTTTAGACAAATCCATTGTCAAGAAGCCGAGTTGCCAATTTCGGACATTGTTAACTTGATCCGCGCGGCCGCCATTTTGAAACGGATTGAAATCATGACTTCGGGTTTGCGCGACAATTTTTCTTGCTTTATGTTCTTCCGAACGAGGTATCATACGGGGGGTCTTCCCATTAGAAAATAAAAGTTGGGCCTTAAAAAAAAAAAATAAATAAATAAAGTACCTAGGAGGCCTCGCAAAATTTTTAGGGGATTCAGAAAGTAGCTCCCTTCGTTTACGAAAATTCCCCAAATTCAAATATTTAGCTCTATTGGGTAAAAAGTTAGAGGGGGGGGGGGTTCGCTCACCCTGTAGGTAGAGTAATAGAGCGAATAGAGCCGTATAATGTGAATGAGATAGTTGGGACCTTGTCTTGGACGACGCATTCCGAGTTCGGTGTGCGCCGAGCTTCGGTCACTTTTTTGATACATGTCCGATCCAAAATGGCGGCGTGGAATACGAAGTAATTTCTATCCTCTTGATTTACATCGGATGGTCGTGTACCGCAAACAATCGATCATGAATCGAAAAAGTGACTCGGCGCCGCACAGGAGTCATGGAATTCGGGCCCTGAAAAATGCTCAAAAGTAGTCCCAGCTCTCCCAATCACATTACGACTCTATTGCTCTATGGACTCTATGGTACGTAAGTAGCTGTGCAATAAGCGAATTTTATTTAGAGGTTCGGTACTACTTTGGCGCTCGAGCCTTTCAGCGGCCATTTTATTTTGAGTTCGGTACTTTCCATTCGGTGACTTGTGGATCGCAAGGGTGGTGTTTAATTTTGGTACCACCAAGCGAGATGTCCTAAACAAAGCTTAGACCTATCGAAAACCAACGGCTCTGATTGGTCGAATCTGTTGGCAACGGTGTCCATTACTGTTGATGGTTGATGAGACAAAACCAGACAAAACCAGGCAAAACTTCCCACAGAGTTTCGGAACTTTGAATAAACTTCACTTTAAAAACATGCTATTACTGTTTTGACAAAGAAAACTGAGAGAGGAGAAAAAAGTAAATACAAACCATCTGGTCTTCTTCCCCATAGTTGATATAGTTGTTTTCCTCCGCCCACAGAACTTTATCAGAGGATGCACGGTCACCATTTCGATTCCTCGATTTTCCTGTGTACAGAAAGAAAAGAAAAAAAGACACGTCAAATATAACAAACAGAAGAAGTTCGTTTCATCTTAGGTTGATGTCAAAGGCAATTTGTGCCGATGCATTCGGCCAAAGCCCCATCACAGGACAAAAATGAAAACATAAAAAAAATAAATCAAAAATCTTGAAGTTCGGATCGACTTCTGCGCTCGAGCCCAACAATATAGAAAGAGAAACCATAGATTGGGTGCGGCCTACGAAATAACGTGACACACATTGAGTGATCATTCCATATAGTCCGAGGAGTGGAACTGTCCAATTACTTCTCTCATCAAACAGGGCTGGATTAACCGTAGGGGCAAAGTGGGCCTATGCCCACAGCGGCAAATTTTCGGGGGCGGCAGAAATCGAGAGACCAAAAAAAAAAAAAAAAATGCCGCCCCTGAAAATTTGACCGGAAAGAATAACTTAAATTAGAGAGAAGAGGCCGTCCATAACATTACGTCACTCACCTGGGGTGGAGGGGGAAGGGATCAGGAAATCGGACAAATAGGTGACGTAATTTATGGACGGCCCAAAAGAAAAAGGCAGTCTCGTCAGCAAGAGAAGGGCTGTGTCGTACAGCGGCACTACTTTTTTCCGTGAACGTCTACACTTTTGTTTTTGTGTTTAAAACTTTGCAATTAGAGTTTACATCTTTAAAATCAATGTCCGGATGTGATCTGAATCGAATATCACGAAAAAAGTCAAAAGCAAAGTCACAAAAGACGTTTATCTGTCGATGTATAGATATCGATATAGAACGCGGGTGGGATCACCTTAATTTTACCTCACTTTTTTTCAGTGTAGCCTCGCCAATGGCTGCTCTTGTTGAGTTGTGAGACCCCCGTGTGGGAATCCAGTCAGGCAATCTAATTATACTTTTTCAATTACTTGTTTTTCATATTTTCAATACAATACAATAGACTAGTGTCAGTAGAGTGGTGCCTGACATCCCTTTACACAAATGAGTTTATTATTTAAAATCATCTAAAATTAAGTTCTTGATTAAACAATAAACCCATAGTAAAACTTGGATTAAAAACTAAAAAAATTACAGCCTCATTTATGGAAATTTTTAAGTAAAAAATGGGCTAAAATTGCATCTTACAGCGGTCAGATTTTCCAAATTTTTCGGGGGGGGGGCGCTCCCCCCCCGGCCACCCCTCCGGGGCGGCAAATTTCCGCGTGTCCACAGCGGCAAAATCGTTAATCCAGCCCTGTCATCAAAACGATGAACAACTCCGAACTCGGGAAAGGGAGAAGAAAACTGTTTTTCGCACTGGCCTCGTAGGCCGTTCGAAGCGAGCCTCCGAGGCTCATGCATGAGGAAGAACTCAAAGATGACGAACAAATGGGATGAAACAAAGGACCCAGCGCACCTTTTATGGAAAGATGTTCCATGAAGAAACCTTAATTGTTTTTAACCATTCGATTCTCCTCAAGAAGCTGATCAAAAGTTATAATTGCGCCAACCCGAGTAGCATTGTCATCTACTTTCTGGGTGGCGCTCATCAAGAAAATGTCTACTTTCTAGATAGATCAATTTTCTTGAAAGAAAATAGGTATAAAGTAGATCTAGAAAATAGACACAAGAAAATAGAAAGAAAATACATTTTTTCCTAGCATTTTCTTAAAAGAAAATATTAAGAAATTGGCTAGAAAATAATTCTACTTTCACTACATTTTCTATCTTTTTGGAAGTTGGAGTGGAAAGTTGACAGAGAGTAGCCATATGAAATAGATCTATTTTCTTTGGTCAGACTTTTGACTCGCAATGTTTTTTCTTCCTATTTTCTAGAGTCCCTTTATACCCAGAGTTACGACAACTCACTTTTGGTTGGGCTGAAAGTGGCCTAAAAAAAATATCCAATTCTGATGGGTTCTCGCTCATGGAGTCACAAACGAGTGCACCAAGATGGCGGTGACTCGAATGTGAACAAAATAATGAAAATATCACCTGATTGTGGTTTTTCAAGAGTAAATTGTTATTTCCATCGGTCCAAAATGAAAAAAGATTAAGAAATCATTCACAAACCAATCTCATTTTCGTTATGATTGATCAATTTTGTTGATGTCGTTGTTTTGGGATGACAGACATCGCAGGATTCCATATCCTTACCCCTCAATATCGTTCGTTTGGGTGCACTCGTTTGTGCCCCCATGGCCAGCCAGGGCCGGCTGCTAGTCAGCTGATAATCGAGTTGTCTTAACTCTGGGTATAAAGGGACTCTACTATTTTCTGGATAACTCTCATTTTCTTTGTTTTTTCTAGAAATTTTCTCAATTTTTTTTTCTAGAAAAAAATTTTATTTTGCTACTTGGGAACTTTCTATGCACCGTTTTCGCAAAAAACCGCCGAAAAGATTGAATCATTCGGCGATAAAAAGCCAGAAAGACTCCTTATTTCAGCACTCGAGTGGATACGATCGGCTGTGTGTCAACAAGGAAGCCAGGGGAACTCCCGCACCTAGCGGCAGTCTTATCTCGGCTTCCGCACTCCGTTTTGCTCGATCATCCAAATCAGATTCTTGAGGAGCATAAAAGAACAGGAAAGTCGGAACGCCAACCGGACGAGAGCGGGAGGGAGATAGCCCCAGAGTCGGCAAGTACAGATAAGACGACGGACACGCGCTACCTATACGTTTTTTCCTTATTTACATCGGGCCTGTTCTCGAATGCTTTGTTCTTTCTTATTCGATGTCGCCGAATAATTGAATCTTTTCGGCCGTTTTTTGCGAAAATAGTGCATCGAAGAGAGTTGGCGCAACGATAGCTTCTGATCAGCATCTTGAGGAGAATCGAATGATTAAAAACAGTTAAGGTTTCTTCATGGTGCACCTTCCCATAAGAGGTGTGCGGGGTCCTTTGTGACCCAATGCAACTCCAAACCCTGCAAACTCCATAAAACTACATACGAGGAAAAAGGGGACAAACCCCTTTAAAAGAATGAAAACTATAACACTGACATTTTCACAGAACGTAGCTTGACCAGATCCTCCAGACAAACACTCTCCGACTCCTCTTTCACTCTCACCGCCAGGTTAGCATTGTTCCCCCCTCTCTCTCTTCTTCTCTCTGGCGGGAACTTTAAATATGGTTTAAATATGGAGGACTACCTGTTACAACTACAATAACACAGGATCTTACGGGAGATTTTACAATTAAATATATTAAGCTACGGTGCCGAGATTTCATCAACACGTTACAAAAAAACTGTCGAAGTGATTTCCTTCAAACTTGGCACAAATGAAGCCATTAAGAAACCCCTTATTTACATGCCTGAAAAATCAACTTTAGAAAAAAATGCCGCTAAAGCCTAAAAAAAGAAAAGTTGTTTCTCCCTATACTAATACATTGGGGATACAAGGTTGTTGACGCGCACCGCGCCGTGCACCGAACAGGTTCAATCCTGTCGCGTGACGTCACAGCATTACGGACGAGATTTCAGGTTTTAAGGGGTGTTCTTCGACGGATTTTTGTAAAAAATTGGTGCCGGGGGTACTTTTTGACGGGAAATTCGAATTTTTGGTCGGATTTTCAAAACTCCGAATTCCAAGATGGCGGCCGTGGCCTGAAATGTTGTGTCGGCTCCTGTCCGATCAATTTTTGTAAAACTCGGTGTCAGGGAATATATTTCGATGGGAAAGTAGAATATTTGGTCAGATTTTCAAAATTCTAAAATCCAAGATGGCGGCTGCGGCCAAAGTGGCGAAGCTGTTATCTTCTCATTATTATTTCTGCTATTTTCAAAGTTAATAGCTAAGAGGGGCGAATCGCGGGACGAGCTCGGAGTGGTCCCACTCAGCGTATATGTATTGAGCGTTTTGTGTGATTACGCAGTTTCTGTCGCATTATCGTAGTTTTGTCAATATACCTAGTTTTTGAAAATAGAGTCTCTTACACCCATTTTCGTAATGTATGTTTATTTGTGTTGAGCTACGTTACGCCCCCAGTTAGAGAGCTAAAGATTCTAGAGTTATCACCATCTCACCCCGGGCCCATTACACAATGATAATCCTATCCCTGAATTAAGGCTATTGCATTTTTCTTTGAAGGGAGGCAGTGACCGATTTCAATAGGAAGGAACCCCTCCGCCCCTCCCCCTTCCTCATTCCTGACTTTCCAAAAGAGTGTTCAACACCTTTTTTGAATGATGTTATTCAGCGAACATTCTTGCCCTCAAGTAGCATTCTTAGGCCTGAAGGATCTACCTATCCCCAAAATCAGTGGGACGAAGAGCCGTTGTTGCCTGTTCTTTCCTCGTTTCAAGCCTTCCAGCTCCTAGCTGCAGGCAGTTTTTTTTTTTCATATTCGTCCGTATTCAGTGATTTTGAAGTTACCGTGCATTCCCATATAGGTTACCAATCACCAGAAACCCGAATTTGACGTTATCGAACCACTCCATTATTGATCACACCCAGCAAATGTGGGGTTTCAGGACTAGCAAATATGGATAGGTATCTGGCGGTGGACGATTATTTTTTTTTTTATTTATTTATTTGCACAAATACATAAACATTGTACAGAGAAGAGCTTTTAGACTTTTCGTCTTTAAAAGCGGCTTTAACTTTAGCCTTAATAATAGCTACAATATTTATTTTAAACATAAAGTGCCGACCTAAATTGAACAGGTGGAGGAATGAAATATAGAGCCCGATTATTTCAAAATAATAGGGTTCAATTTTTTGAACGTATTTCAACGGGTAAACCGTCCGAAACTAACATCGTTTCTCCTTGTATGTCCAAGTGGAGCGAGGAACATTAGGAGGCGTGTAGTTATAAAATTATAAGACTTAGTCTTATAATAAATATTATCCTAAAATAATATAGGATAAGTAGACTGCTAAAGCTAGATTGTAGAGAGTTATCTGTTTAAGGATCGTCATTGTTTTCCATTCTCGTAATTAGTGTTTCAAAATGTTTCGATAATAAAACTATTGTATTAATGAGATTGGTCATAACTCTGTCTTGGTTAGCAATTGCCTCGACTTGGTTAATAATTATTTTTTCTAAATTACTCAATCTTTCATTAAAAAAATCATAGTTGTACTGATGATCATTATTAATAATCTCGTTAGTTTCATTATAAGAAACTGGGTTATAGGCAGGGGGTTTATTAGCTTCACTTAATACTCTAGCATAACTGACGCCCGGTGCAACTTTATTAGAGGAGATATCTTGAGATTTGATGGGAGGAAATCTTTTCTTATTGATTTCTTTTTGAACCTTGCATCCCTTGTAATTGCCGAAATGCGCACCTCCGCAGAGGGCACATGTCGGCATTACAGGTGCACAAGTTTTTATGGCTTCTAGTTTTATGGGGCAGGTATCTGAACAATGAAAATCACCACAAATGATACAACGGGGATTTCTGAAACAAAAGTTTTGAGAGTGTCCTAGTGATAAGCATTTTTTGCATTGGATAACTTCTTCAGTTTTGTTGGGAAATTCAAGTTTAATTATAAAGTCATTTATCGAAGTTATTTCTATTAAAATTTGATTTATGTTTGGTTTGAATTCAAACTCAATTTTGAAAATTGGGAGAGGCTTTTTGTTGATGAGATGTCTGATTTGAGCTAGATTTTTAACAGTGATATTTTCGTATGATTCAAATACTTGTTTTATATTTTCTATGGGGAAATCTGCTGATAGTCCTTTAATAATTCTACGAATATTACGATTTTCTTTTTGTTGGTAAGTATGAAATTTTATATTATTGTTTTTAAAGTAATTAAAAAGGGTGTAGTATTCTTCCTCAGTTTGGACAACTAGTTTGACTTGTGATTTGTTGATCACGTGTATTTTAGAATTATTGACTAATACATCAATAATGGATTTTTTGAAAATAATAGGGTTTCCTACCTCTGATACAAAAAGTGGAGGGGGAGAAAGGGTTTCGTTTGGATTTTTTCCTCATGTTGGGTTGTTTGCAACACTTGAAATTGGTTTTTGGAATGGGAGTTTTCACTGTTATTAATTACAGCATTATTTGAGGCTGAGAAAACTATTTTCCTCTTCACATTCTGAGTACGTTGCACTTTTTTAGGCGGATTGTTGTTTTTATTAGGCGAGTCTGTAGATATACACTTTTTCCTTTTACTAGTGACAATACGCCATCCTGATTGGTCCAGAGATGAAGGTTGTGTATTTGTTTCCAGAGTTGTTGTTTCTTTGGAAGATTGCTAATTATCTAAATCCATATTTACTTCTGAAGCACTCGTAGTTTTTTCCTCTGAATTTGGAGATTTTGTTACTGCATTATTAGCACTGCTACTTTCGGGGGTTGGAGGTTCAGTTTTGGGTCTTAAAAGAACACATTCTGAATTAAGTCCTTTTTGTTTAAAAAGATTAGAACATAATTGACACTGGTTCCATATTATTCCATGTTGGCAGATTGCTTTTGAAACGTCTTTTAAACAGATATTACATCTGTAAACTTTAGTGCCATGAACACATTCAAAGAAACAACGAAGACAATGTCCTGTCTTTTTGTTAAAATGGGTATAATAAAATACCATAATGTTTGTCAAAGTTTATTTCACTTGGGTCTATAGGTGTCAGGGGGGTTGCCCCTGCTGTGAAAAGGCTTCACAATTCACATCGCGAACCGTGTCACAATTCACTTCACCGAAAGGAAGCACTTTAGATTGATGAGATTGATAGGAGAGCTCGGTTCAACAGCGCGTCCGACTCAAATGAGTGTTGATAAGGAACTGGGCGGTGGACGATGTATCTAAGTCAACTTAGCGACTTTGCATTTTGAGGGAGGGGATCTTTCCCCCACCGTTTATGGGGTCAATATTTCGAACAGGAGTGGGCCGATTTTTTATTTCTTGGTGAAGATTAATCGGGGTAAAATTGTCCGTACCTACTTCATAAAGAGCTCAAAAAACGCTCAATTAAGAGCAAACGCTTAACGTTTAAACAAGAGCTTAAGCATAACGGCTTTGCTCGCCCCCCCCCCCCCCCCCCTGTATCACCGCAAGAAAGAGCTTGATGCGAAAACGGCTATTTTTGCCCGCCCCCCCCCTGGAATTTCTTCAAACTTTGTCATATCGATCGATTACTCATACTTAAGCGCTTCTTTTCCCAAATTTTCAGACCCCCAAAAATTTTTTAGAGAGCGCTAGGGGGGGGGGGGGGGGTTGGAAGTCAAAACCTGTGAGCCTCGACATCTTTCGAACGGAGGAAGATATTGAGGTCCGGTTTGGACGAAAAGTCGTCTAAAATTGCATACTTTAAGATTTCAAAAGTCAAAATTCCGATATCACATTTCCCAGTAACATATGTGGTTGTTTCAGGTTTTGAGTCGAGAAAATTTCTTTTAAACAAAAAATTCACAAGGTACTCATTTTTTTATTTGAACCAAAACCAGTTTTTATAAATTGTTCGTCTTTTTCCGCATCAAACGAGTGGTCCATTAGGCTGGGGAAATAACAGTTCCGGAGTTATGAGGGCTTGAAGTTTCCGCTCAAAGCGCGCCAACCTATTTTCGCGCGCCAAAATATGGTTCCAAAGCCAAATTTGGGTGTTAATAAATCAGATTAAATGTTCAAACCGTACAAAATACATTTTTAGGTAACTTTTTTTCCGTAACGCTACGGGAAAAAAATGAATTCTTGGAAGTATCTAAAATATTTGAACTCAGCGACCCTCAAGAATCCTTAAAAATGTATTTTGCACGGTATGAACATTTAATCTGATTTATTAACACCCAAGTCCTATCGTGGAAAGGCGTACCATATCACCTACGGTTCTATGTTCGCATTTTCACGATGCACCCGTAGAGAAAAAAATACCCATTGCCTCGAAGGTCGTTGCTTTCAGAGTAACAGCACAGGCGTGCATTATGGCGGTCTCAGAGTATCTACCTTGGAGCATTGGTCATCGCCATGACATCTCTGACGTCATTGCTCCTCTGGATGCTACCGAGATATATACTCTGAGAGGTCCGCGGCGCGGGGTCGTATCATCGGGCCGCGATTAGAGGATCACCTTGGACAAGTGTACATAGTGTCTATCGTATCATTATCGATTATATTGATCAGCTCTACCATTTGACTACGTGCGTTGGATCTTTTCATCCCTCCAATTACAATCCGGCTTTGGAACCATATTTTGGCGCGCGAAAATAGGCCGGCGCGCGTTGAACGGAAACTTCAATCGTGCATTACTCCGGAACCGTTTATTTTCCCAGCCTAATGAACCACTCGTTGGATGCGAAAAACGACGAACAATTTAAAAAACTGGTTTTGTTTCGAATAAAAAGATGAGTACCTTGTGAATTTTTTGTTTAAAATAAATTTTCTCGACTCAAAAACTGAAAAAATGTTACATCCTGTATATCTTGTATTGCAGGTTGCATATACTAGGTTGTGAGGCGCAACCGTAAGAGGTAGCGTCAGGCCTGTCTCTCTCTCTGTTCACTCTTCAATACATTCTGATTTCGTGCATACGCTTCATCTTGCTTGCTCTCGTCTTTCCTCCCGATTCCCGAATAGGTATATAAATGGCGACAAGGATTTGAAAGTAAAATCATGTAACGTGCGTGCAGTTTTCTCGATTTTCGTTGCTCTTGGCCGTTTTCAATTTGCGCGTCGCGTGATTTCGCGTGAAATTAGTGGCATGGCGTGTCGGGCCTAACCTAGCCATTGATAATGGCGTTGCTTGTTGCTGATAAGGACCACTTGAATTCATGATGATCTTCGTCTGACTTTCTCGTTCTTTGCTCTCAATCTTCAATCTTCAAATTTTGCGCTTCTACTCGTCCAAATGGATCCTGAACAATTCGAAACTTTCATGAAAGTGGCTGTCTCTTGTTGCTGATCTGACCACTTAAATTCATGGTGACCTTCGTCTGACCTTCTCGTCCTTTGCTCTCAATCTTCAATCTTCAATCGTCCAATTTTGCTCTTCTACTCGTCCAAATGGATCCTGAACAATTCGAAACCTTCATGAAAGTGGTCAAGGAATCCTTCAACAACATCACCATCAATCCTGCATCACCTGTACTTGGTACTGGATCTGGTAACGTAGGTACCTGCCGCATCGGCTCCTTGTATCCTCAATTTCGAGAAACTCGACAAAGGAAAGGAAAAATTTACACAGTATTTAGGACGTTTTCAGATCTATGCTGACATCAAATGCATCTCTAATGACTCTAATCTTCTTAAGAAAACTTTTCTTAATAGCATTGGTTCGGATACTTACCAAGTTCTAAAATCTATTCTTGCACCCAAACCTATCTCCGATGCTTCCTATAAGAACATCACCTCAGAACTTAAAGCCCATTTATGCCCTCCACCTAACGAATTGTTGGAGCAGCACCGTTTTCTCTCCCGTATGCAGAACGAGAGTGAAACGATTGCTGACTACGTTGCAGCTTTGCGTTCGCATCTAGAAAATTGTAATTTCAAATGTACATGTGGCAGTATAGTATCGCTGACCAGTTCTTAAAAAGCCAATTTATTCGAGGTATTAAAAGTTCCTACATTAGAGAGAAAATCCCAAGTGATCCTTCTTTGAAAACTTTCGACAATACAGTCACTCTTGCCTTATATTTGGAAGCCTCCATGAGCAAGAAATTGGAGGTGGTGTGAATGGGAATTCTCCTATATCTGTTAACCGCATATCTAAATCTTTCAATTCTAGATCACGTTCATTCCCGAAAGCTAATCGCAAATCAGGTCATGGTCGTGAATCGGGTGATCGGAGCACATCCAGGTATCGATCCAGAAATAGTGGCATCGACCTAGACAAACTAGGAATTGCAGGCCTCTGCACCAGATGTGGCCGCAACAATCATCATGCTCCTAAGTGTTGAATCAAGCGGCATACCCTGAAATGCACTTCGTGCAACCTTGCCGGCGGTCACGCAAGCAAAGTCTGCATCAAAACTCTCACTCAGAATAAATCTAAAGTTCATTCAATGCATGAATCGTTAGAAAACCTGAATGATTTTGTAAACTCCAATTCAGACCGTGATTGTAACAATCTCTCTTCAATTACAAGTCTTGCTCCACTCTCTAATGAGGAAGAAGAAGATGAAGGCAAATACGTTGCCACCGTTAAAATCAACAGCAAAGAAATCCAGCTAGAAGTAGATTCAGGCTGCGGATACACCTTAATTCTTGAAGACATTTACAATAAATTAAATTTAGGCATCAAACTAAAACGGCCGGGGAAAAGTTTCAAATCTTATGATTACGGTATCAGTAAACCTATCGGTCGTGCAGATACTGAAGTTACCTTCAATAATAAAACCGAAGTTGCCTCATTTTTTGTCGTCAATTCTGACCTAGCACCCTTGTTTGGGCGAACTTGGATCAGAAAATTCAAAGTAAATCTTAATGACCTAGAAGTAAGGAAGAATACACAACACAACATATCCACAATTCACAGAATAAGAGCAGAAGACATTCAATCAAAATTCCCGAAAATTTGCGAACAACGTGTTGGTAGGATTCCTAATATTACATGCTCTTAGCCCCTTAAGGAATCAGCCAAGCCTAAATTTCTTAAAGCCAGAGATCCGCCACATGCTATCAAGGATGCTGTCAATGAGGAATTGCTCAGCTTGGAAAAAGATGCCATTATAATCCCAATTGGATTACATTTTGCAGTTAGGAACCACTATCTCTGGCTTTTCCAATAAAGCACCTTCCTGCATAGGGAAACCAATGGCATATCGACGGTGAAATTACCAAACTACGTATCTCGTTTGCGGTGTTTAAAAATCTACGCTCACATTTTATTTTTTTGAAGTAGACCAAATCAATATCATTCCTTGAAATTTTCACGGAATTTTCTCCGCACAAAGAGGAAAAATCACAGAAATTTCTAAGACTGGATGTTAAGTAGTTTTTGATTTAAAAAATAAAGTATGACAGGAAGTCTGCGACGTCGCAAACCGAGATACGTGGTTTGGTAGTTTCACCGTCGATATGTGTCGTTTCTAAAATGAGCCAGAAACAGTGGTTCCTTATTGCAAAATGTACTTAATCCAATTGATACCTCTGATTGGGGCTCTCCACTGGTACCGGTTGCAAAACCAGAAGGTAAAGTAAGACTTTACGCAGATTACAAATTAGCTGTTAATCCTCAACTAGAAAACCATAATTTTCTTATTCCTCGTATAGAAGATTTTATCAGCGAGCTAAAAGATTCCAAAATCTACTGCAAAATAGATTTTTTCAAAGCTTACTTGCGCATGTTCTCATGGAAGAAGAATCTAGAAAAATTCAGGCTGTATCTACACACAAAGGTGTCTATTTGATGAACCGACTCAGTCTTGGCATCAAAACAGCACCAAGCCAATGTCACCAAATTTTGGGCAGAATACTCTCTAAGCTGAAAGGTGTCGTATGGTATTTCGATGACATAATAGTACATCGAGCGACTTATGAGGAATGTTCGCAAAATTTACTTACACTGCTACAACGTTTGTGCGACAATGATCTCCGCGTGAGCTTACACAAATGCATCTTTTTTGTTGACAAAATTGCATACCTACGTAGGATATACAATTCAAGGCAGAAACATCTTCAAAGACCCTAGAATAATGGCCGCCATCAGTAATGCAAAACGTCCGTCAAATTGCCAAGAAGTTAAGCAGTTTCTGGGAATGGTTACATACTACTCGAGGTTCATTCCACACACATCCAGTATTACTGCTCCACTTCGCAATCTTCTGGGGAAAA